GTTTTTTTTTTCCCAGAGTCAAAATTATACCAAAATGTTTGCTGTAGATGGAATGAGGTTCAGGGATACTTTGGAAGTTAATTTATAGGCACCGCATGTAGCTAATTACCTCAAGACATGGAACTTAATTTGAGCTAGCTAGCTGGAAATTAAAGTTTACAATGTTCTTTTGCTGGTTGTCACAGAAACATGTGTCTCACTCATAAGCTGTCTGTCAAACTCAAAAGAATGATCAGCTCCAGTCAACTGTTAAATGAACATTGTTACATGCTTGATTATACAACAATCTAGGTAATGTTCATTGAATTATGTAGTACTGTATTTATATACTTCACCTTCACTTAGAAAAATACCAGGAAAGAACATTCTTCTGAAAAACTAAGAAGACTGGTAGTTTCATCAAGTGTTCCTCTGATTAGTTTTGACCTTTTATTAAGAACACTTGCATTGAAAAAACATTAAAGATCTGACATTCCCTCAGATTTCTTCAGACATCATTATTGTATTGGAGTTTAATTAAGGTCTCTGCATAGACCTTAATGTCTCTTAATGTCACTACTACGCACGTCCTATACAATGTCAGTACCCTGGTAATTATATTCCTCTTCAAGAAACAGGACAATCTAAGACATGGGGAACAAAATCTCCCCAATGGAATGTCAAACAAATTCTTATCTCTAAGGAAACGAACCTGGACCATTTCAAGAATTGAAAAACAAGACAAACACCAAAGATGGTGAAAAAAAAAACCATTCTTTCCACGATAAAGTGTTTACTTTCAGACAAAGGCATGATAACACACATCAACATGCATGAGAATCAGGAAATGGAAGAATTTTTCACTCGGCAATTACTCAATCTCAATGGTCCTAAGAATTAATGCCAGACTAATTTTCTTCATCTTTTGTTGAGGCTTTTTCGTTCTGTACTTCCATTTGATCTGTCCTATTTTGCTTTTGGTTCCTGAATGTAATGTAACTACCTTGATTTGGACCTTACTCATCGGCTAAACATGGCAAACTCAAGGCCCAACTACCTTTTAAACGTAACACATGTGTGTGTGGAAATGTTATATTTGTTTATTAATAATCCACATTGATCATTATTTGGAGGAAAAAGAAATACAGGGTCAATACAATATGAAATGAGGTTAGCTGGTATGCAGTTTTCAAAACTTTGTGTAGATAAATAACATATTCGCGTGGGTACAAAGAGGGAACTTGATCCAAAGCTTTGAAAAGAACTAAAATAAAATGAACTCGATTAATCAACTTATAGTTCTTAGACAACAAATTTGGAAAACCTTGGTTGGGCTGCAAGAATAAAGTATCCGGACAAATGTAACTACCACTTCACACAGCATTCTTGTTGGATCAAATTTATCCTGTTCAATTCACCACGCTACATTTCTTCCTTATTTCTCCAGCATTTCCAGTAAGAACTCCAATTGCACCCATCCTCTTCATGGATTGTCCAAATTCAGTGAAGAATTTTCCAGCGGTAAGCATCTCATCAACAATGTTGCTTGCACCTCTGTCTGTCAGCAATGCAGCATCTGATTGGAAAAGGCCTTGTTGATGCTTTAAATTTGAGAAATAATGGTTGTCAGATGCTACAGAACTCCCAGGGTCCATTTCTACTGTGGTTGTATTATCAGAAAGGCTTTTGCATTTTGTTCTCAAGAATGCAGCGTAGGTTGAGTTCAGAGAAGGATCTGCATCGGCTTTCCCTGTGAAATTATATAGCCTCTTGCTGAACAAGTTGCAATGTCCAATTCCAATGGTATGTGCACCTACAAACATAAAGATTACATATGTCAATGTCAACATGATGTTTCAAAGTTCTAATTTTGATCTCAAATTGAGTGTTTTCGTGTAATTCTTGAGGGCCGATCAGAAACACGTGGGAATTAGTACTCTAGAAATTTTTTTTTTTTTTTAAAGTGTGAAGGAGATCGAATGAAACATAAAATTCTGCAGATATAATTTACTCATGCGACAAAATATTTGTGACTTCAGAGATTTACATGACTATAAAGTAGGCGTTTCTTCTCCATTTTATTCTTGTAGCATGCATCTTACTTGGGAACATGTTACCTGACAAAACCACACGATCATGGACTGTAAGATTCTTGCTGGCAAAGGACTGCATGAGGGTGGTGAAGTTGGAGAATGGAGAAGGGATGTTGGCTAGAGCTTCTGATGCATGTGAAGTTCTTCCATCTCTTCCCCCAGTCAATACTTCCCATACTGGCTTATTGAACTGCAGTAACGAATAAAGTAGTTCTATCAAATTGTCAACAAATATATGTATCTATGTATCTCTCTTCTTAGCAACAAAGTCATCTTGTCAAGAACTAGAAGATAAAAGTTTTTCTTTTTGTTTTGAGGCTTCCTTACTTGAAATGAAACGGAGTCTCTAGCAGCTAAAGCCAGTATATCCGCACAAGATACTTTTCCAGGACAAGCCTTCTCTAGTTGGTTCTTGATTTCATCAATAACGTCAAAGCCTGCCAGAGACAAGTTAGGAACGGCATCCTTCTCGGCTGTGTTTTTTGCTGTAGAGTCTAGCAACACCGAGGCATCACAACCCTGCGAAACCAAGCAATCCGACTCTAAATAGTAAACTGACCCCTCAAACGAAAAAAAAAAAAATTGTACGTCCAAATTTCTACCAATGTCCAAATTTCAACCAATGACCTTCAGTCTCGTGGAACTATATATCAGCCGTCACCCTCTAAAGTTAAATAGGAAGTATTATATGATATCTTAAATAGTAAGAAAAAAATGGGGTTGATTGGAGGAAGAAGAAAGTTTAATTACCCTAACAAAGCAGTCATGGAAATGCATTCTTAGCCGGCAATCTTGCATTGCTAGCCACATGTTTCCATGTTATGCTTTGAACAATTTGCTCAGCTTGAGAACAACTACCCTTGTAGAAGTTCTTCCTCAATTCACCCCCCCACTACCAACTCTCATCCCCACCAAAATTACCACCGTCCTCACCAGGACATCAAATCCCCCCTTCATCGATCTCTCTCACTTCTTGTTCTTCTTTTCCTCTGTGCGTGCGCGCGCGCGCGCGATCGCTCCATAATAAGCAATGCATGCATTCTTATATACGTCCTCTTTCTGGTTATTACGTCCGACATGCAAATAGGTTAGTTGAATTTTTTTTATCTCAGAGGAGGGGAAATTGCGTTGAATTAATAATGTTACATGAGAAAAAAATTGATATGTCAGCCATGGTTTTGCCCCAGAATATGAGAAAAATGTATAATATATATATATATATATATATATGATGAATTATTTCTGTTATATATTGATGAATCTGAAGAGATAAAGGATGCATAGACTGACCTCCACTTTCTGGTTGGTGGTGGTAGCTTAAACGGTTTTGTCCTAACAATATTAATTAGTAATTTTAAGCAGATTTGTTTGACTAATTAATATAAAATTTTGCCAACAAAATTAGTTGGATCCGCCAGGCCTTGATGGCGGTTCTGTTTCGGAAAGTTTCATTGGCTTGGCTTAGATAAGTAAAACCCTGCAATTGTGAGATTTGATCGATTCCATATACTCTGTCGGTCAAGCATTTGGAGAAAGGAAGTTAGTTGATTTCCATTGATTCATTCTTTTGTGGCTAAACTGAAGGTAATAAATCGCATTAATTTTTCTTCAATGAACTTTTTTGAAGTTGGGAATGGAAGCACCTCTTTCAAGAAAACCACATCTTAATTGACACTAATAAAAAAATACTAGTAATTAATAAACATGTTTAAGGCAGAATCACAGGTAAATGTGGTTTAATTATCCATCTGCTAATTAACCCACAAGTAGAGAATTAAGCTAAAAGCTAGTCAAACAAAGTTAGCATGTAGTACTTGCTTCAGTTTCTAATTCTTTCCTTTTTCTCTTAATGAATTGTAGGAGCCAAAGCCAATTGGGCAAGCAGATGTCCAATTCTACTTGTGGTTATGTTATATGCTCGGAATATCTACTTTGTCCAACTTTTTATCTCGTGCCATTTGAGATCGAGGAAGATACAAAGAAATTTGCTCGTTTATTACAATCCACATCACATGCATGAAACCAAAAGAAAATCGGAGAAGAACAAATGTTTGAGGAAAAAAAAAAAATGCTGCATTAAAACTTCAAATAATTACTACGATTCATGGAAAACCAGCTGCCAAGCAAGTCTCCCAGAAAAGCCTGTCTCCTTCAGTTTCATGCTCCACTTCCGTACCGATACGTTCAACAAAAGTACCAAGTCTTGATTCTTCTATCACCTCTTCTGGATCATAATTGACCACAGCATCACTTGAATCTCTACAATCGAATTCCCTGAGCTCGTTGGAATCGATCATCTGCACACAACTGGAATCATCATGACTGGATGATTCTGCATCATCTTGATCGCCAGCTAAAGGAAGCCCATCAAGAAAATTCATCCACATAAGATTGCATACACTATAGCACAAGCTTGCTTCAGCATTTTCAAGGGAATTGGGATTACCCTCGGAATCTCCACTGGCCTCCAAGAGAAAAAGAAAATGGTACAATTGATTACTGCACCTCCAATCCATTGCCGTCAAGCAAGAAAAGTACGAGAACGCTGGCTGGCTGGACAGTGCTTACTTTAAGAGCCTATTTATTTGCATTCTTTTGGGATGCTAATTAATATGATGATGACTTTAACCGGTGTAATGTTAGAAGTTTCAAAGTCTTGCTTGGTACTCTCAGTTAAGTGGGATATGATTATTTCAACACTCCACTCCATGTAGGGGTTAGACTAATTTTAATGGTGGGGGTTTTTCGTGAAGCACCTGTAACTTTTGGCAATTCAATAAACACTTTGCATGGCTTTGATTTGGAGGCTTGCCTGATGTGCTTGAGTGCTGTGTGATCTCAATTTCTAGATGCGGGTTAAGTTACATCTAGTGCTAATGCGCCACTATCAATTAATTTGGGTTCTGCCGACAATTTACCACTTCAAAAATTTGACAAAAACCTAATGGATTGGAGTATGGTACTCTTCCATGTCTCCTTTACTTCAATAATCTGACAAGTCGTAAATAAGACAAAGCAAAATTTTCACCATCCCCCAATGAGGTATGGTAGTTCAGGCTACACAGTCATTTAACAATGATCAAAGGTATGAAAGTAAATTAAGATTCGACAACCGAGTCCAACTACAACTAAAAATTATCAAAATCTGGAAGTGTGCTTCCAATATGCAAACCAGAGAATACCCAGCAAAGTTCATGAAACCCTCCGCGAAAATTTCAATCCTATCGGCTGAAGTAGCCTTTATGATGATCTTCAAAACAAAATTCTGAGTGCCTGCACAACTGCAAGTGGAAAAAGGCATCCCATGAAAACAATATCCTGAATCTTACAACATTCTCCAAGATCATGAAAACATAATGGAATTATTATTCCACTGTCAGTGAAAAGCTAACAACATGTTCTGGCCATATGAACGTATGTTTCACATAGCACAAATTCATTAGACACCCTTGTGTTGATGTCAACTGTATAAAGAAAAATTGCGATAAAGTTCAGGATAACTTCTCTTTATAATAATTTTGATATCTCCCTTCTAAATAGTAAGATTGAAAAAGGATACAAGGCATCTGTTGTGTCCACATCTATTTCAGTTTAACAAACGTCCAAGACCCAAGACCCTCAAACTCACCCAGACCATCATGTAAATGTTTTGCTCATAAAGTCATTTGACTACATCAATTACACCTTAATTTGAGCTCTATGTTTACTAGGAAAATTCACTTACAATTTGAGTGACAAAATTGAATTAAACTCATTTTCAGCTTTTGGTAAGTTGGTCTAAATCGAACATTTTGTGGTTGCTTTACAAGCCTTCTACAAGAGTATTGCAATAAAGCACAACACCCCGTAGGGAAGGCAAACACTTTGTTAGTTTGATCATGAGAAATTCAGTGTTGGTCAAGTTTTGCTAAGATTTCAAATAGCTGCTTCTTTAAGTTAACAAAAGGAAGAGCAGAAAGCGAAAATGTTGCTTTAGAGCTTCAGCTTATGTAACATTCTAATAACAACCATCTAGAAGAAAGAGAAAATAGACAAATTTATCAATAGATGCCAATTATTACATTATATCTAGTTGAATTTCTTTGAATATTTGAGGTAAATGATATTTGCACTACAAAATCATCCTCTGGCACTCCACCTTTCTTCAAGTAATAAAATGCTACAATGGAGTGCCAAGAGCTAGTCTTGGAGTGCAAATATCACTTGCTTTTTGAGGATGAAACTCAACATAAGAATAAAAATTAGTGAAAAGACTAGGTGCTCAGACCCTGTGTATTGAACATGACAGCGAACAATACCAGATGCTGTAGGCTAAATTAGAAAATTATATTACTAATGGAACAGTCAAGTTCCATTCTTCCTACTTTAAATAGTTTCACTTGGCATTTATTTTGATTTGTGAATTCCGGTCACCATCAGACAGAATTTAAGAATGGACTATGAGAGGAATATTTAGGAAAGAAGACCTCCAAAACGTAGCTAGGGCCTAGGAACTTTTCCTAGTTCCTGCATCAACTTGCCTCCAAGGATTCAAAGCTTCTCTCCTAGCTTGAGCTTCAGGACTATTCTCCCAAACTCTCTTCTCTGACTCCAAAACAGTTACTTTATCATCTGCCAAGACAAAAATTGTATTAATGAGCTAGAGTACTTGTAAAAACCACCCAAATGAAGTTGAACAAATTACTGCATATTTGCTACTTTCTAAATTCTCCTCTTGGTACAGAAACTCAATCAAACATAATGTACACAAAGTCAAAATACCCTTTAATCAGCTAAAACAAACCAAAGGTTGCTTACAAAATCAAAGATACTGCTTCATACCCATAAGCCATTAGAGCTTAATCACCATTAGAGCTTAATCATTTATCAAAACAAACTAAGAAGCATTAACAGAGCTCTCAACTACCATAGCTCAGTCATCTATTGGGAGCTCAGGAAATGACCATAATGTTGAAGTAACGATCCACGGGAAGGATATATCAGTGTAAATGATGACTAACACCATATCTATGGAAGCAGATAGCAGTAGACTGCTTATAATTCAATTAAACAGAAAACAGACGTTTAGCACTATTTTTTGAAGCATAAACGTTAAACCACAACATCCTTACATACTCTCTTTTTCATCCATTCTCATGATCTGAAATCCAAAGAAATACCACCAATTAAGTAAAGGGTAGTATAAGTCTTCAACCTTAATCAAGTTGAATCATCCAAAACCCCAAATTGTCTGAATTTGCAAGCAAACATTCAGCATTAATCCATTAAAGCATTAGTTGACTGAGTCCATTAAAAGAGATCAAATTTTACTACAACCCGCAGAAAAAAGATCACATTTTTAAGTAGCCAAAATTTTAAAGTATAACACATTTCCTCAAGTTTTGTCAAATTAAGACAAGAATAATAATGGTACGAGCGAAAAAAGGACAAAACTTAAATAAATACTGAAAAAGAACTTCTGAATAAGGCAAAGATTCTATCTTGAAAAAATTAAGAAATAATTGAAAGTTGAGAATCAAGGAGGTTGAAAAGGAGGGTTCTCACACAGAAGCCAGTTTTGATCATGAACAATTCCATTGAACCTCCAACCATGGCGGAAAGAAGTGATATCTTCACGTACCAACCCAGAAATTTCATTCTTCTATTTTTTTTTGGTCCCTTTTCTTTGCTGTTTTGTTTTCTCTGCGCACAATAGAAAGTGGTTCAAGATTCCGAGCTAAAGAAATTAGTTTAAGAAAAAAAAAAATAGACCAGCAAACTAGCAAAGCAGCAGATTTTGAACTTTCAAATGCTCAAGAGGCGAAACCGGATGACGGAGGTGCGCCGCCTATACGAGGAGGGGTTGCGGCGGAGAGTTGGGTGGCAATGAGAGTAGTTGTGTCACCGCCTTTGGCTTTTTCTGTTTTTCTTTACTTTTGGTTCATCTAACTTGTTTTGTTTCCTCAATTTCTTTTTTATTTGTCTTCTTTTTTTCTTTTTTCCCTGTGGTTATATTGGTTAGGCTAATTAGCCTAATTCAGCCAAAAAAAAAAAACGTTATAGGCTTATAGCTTCGAACTTACCCTCAGATCAAACAGGCTCAAGTGCAAATTGAGCTTATGGAAACTGAGTTCCAAGTAAAAGATTCTTATGGTGCTCATTTTAGTTTAAGTTGAAACTCAACAATTTCTAATTGATTTTGTTGTCTTTTGTAGGAGTGTAAATGAATCGAGTTACTCAAGTTACTCATGAGTAACTCGATTCTCAACTCAGAGAAAAACTCGACTCAACTCGACTTTATTGTCTGCGAGGTCAAGCTTGAGTGACTCGAGTAATAAATTGACTCAAATCGAGTCAAGTTCAAGTTTTAAAATGCTATGCTCGTGAGCCTAATCAAGCCGAATTGAATATTTTTTATTTTTTAATTTTAATTTTTAGTATTATTTACATTTTTACATTTTAATTTTTATATTTACAAAAGTTTTCAGTTTTTAGTTTTTAGCTTTTAATTTTTTATTGATGGATTCACGACTTCCATTTAGACATGACTAATCTTTTTTAATCATGTGAATACTAGTTTAAGTGTTTTGACCTTTATAATTGCACATGGATTACTCAAAATTTGTGGTTTGAACTTTAAAAAAAATAATAATCAAGCATGCTCGATTGAGCTCGATTTTAAGCACAAGTTGTACTCGAGCATGAACTCAACCCAAAAAAAAAAAAACCTCAACTCACGAGCAGCTCGGCTTGCGTACATCCCTAGCTCAAACACCTTTGTTTATTAGTCAAGTCAAGCTCGAATAGGGTGGCATTCAAACTCGACTTAATTCGATGACACTCTTATTTGCTTGAATAAAATAAGAATGTGGATATGTTACATAGATCAATCAGAAACATTCCATCCACTTGAGTCTTGACACCACCTTTAAAATAAACTCACCATTTTTTTCTTCTCTAAATATGATTAATATTGCCATAGAACAGTTCTTCTTCCAATCAATAGATATTTAATCTTTGCTTACCAATAACTCCTAAAAAATGAACAAATTATGAAGTAAGCTACAAAGCATAATGGATATCCAGTTCTATTCACTCACTTACGTTTACAGTAACACACTGGATGCAAATTAATACTACAATTTTAGTGTAAATGTGATTTGAATTACTAAAAAATCACGATTACACCACAATTATATAACTTTAGGCCAAAAGTTAATAAAATTACAATAATTGGATAGAACTCGATTGGGATGCCATGATCCAATCACAATATAGTTCTTCTTCTTCAACAGAAATCTCGTCCCGATTTACCGGAAACTCGCACAAACCCACCCTCTCTCACACACTCAAATCATGAAACAATATCCACAAGAAAAGAAACATAAAATCAAGAACCAAACGGAAAATGAAGCAAAATTGAAAGGAGAAATGTCTCTCAAACGCTCTCTCGGGTCAGTTCACCGGCAAACATATTTCGTCTAGCCATTTTGTCAAACAGATTAAGGTCATCACAAAAATTGAATATTGCTTATAAAATTTGACTATGGCTGAGCTGAACATATCTTGTCAAGCCTCATTCAGGCAGAAAATTGTGAAAAAGAAACAATGAAATTGCAGCAAGTATCATTGTCCAATTTCATTTATCCACATAATAAAGCATACGGGAAGAAGATAGCAATTTCAGTAGCCAAAAAAATTGATCTCAACCAAGAGATTAAAACAAAAAGGGATTATGGAAACCTCACATTGCTTTCTTGATGATGATTTGCCGGTGGTGGTGGTTCCAGCAAGAAGACAGCAACTCTGGCAATGGTGACGGCGCCAGTGAGCTCCCCTTGTTCCTCAGACTCCCTCTTTTTTTCTGTTTTTTTTTTTGTTGGTTTTGTCTTTTTTGGTTCTTTTCTTTTTTTCTTAGAAAGAAAATGAAGGATACCACTCTACAACTAAGATACTGCAAGGATTTTGGAGCGGGTTGTTATGAGTTTATATGAAACTCAAGGTGGATAAGGGATGATGACTACTCGTGATCTTTTATAGTTTTAATTGTTGAAGGATGAGGATCGATAGTTACAAATACAATTGGTGTTGTCTTTGTTAGTGATTGAAGAACTGGTTCTTGTCTTACATTGGAGACTCTAAAACAATTGGAGGACTTTCTAAATTGATATAAAGGACAAAATTGGTTTTAGAGTAAAAGTCTAGGGACGAAAATGGTGATATAACCTTTCCCCGCCAACAACCCCACACCCACCCCCCTCCCCCACGGCCCACTCCACCAGACGACAGTCCTAGCTTGGTGTTTGTGTAGTAGTGAGTAACTTCGCGCTACATTCTACAAGCAACAAATTGCTGGAAGACGACGAAACCTTATTTGTATTCGTTCCCATGACAACTGGGGACCATTTTCCATCATCGAAGGTTGCTTGTGCGGCTCCTGATTCAGACTTTCTTTGTCATCATCTTCCCCGGCACCTGAACCGAAACATTGCAACCCTGAAATTTATACTGATGCAATTTGGTCCCTTCCCATCATCTCATCTCCAATTATTCTTTCACCAATTACTGCAGTCTTTTTCGTTGAAACCCCGTCAAATTTTTTGTTACAGTCGTTAAATAACTTGAAAACATATCTGTTAACATTTGTGGATTAGAGTTGGTAAATGTAAAGACACTCATATTTTGTTAGATAAAGATAAAAGGACTTCCATTTCTTTTTTTCTACTGTTTGTTCTCTTTCATTTACCGATAAAGATCGGGTTTTTATGAGTGAGAACTAGAGAATGGAATCGCCCAGAACTTCAGCAGATGTGGGAATTGCAGTTTCAGCTAATGATGATCCGGCACGACCTGTACAGGTTACTTCACTGCACTATTACTGCTTGTGCTCCTGGGATTATAATTTAGGTTCTTCTGCGGGAATTTTGCTGAATTTTTACAATTTTCATTATGTGGTCAATCTAAGTCATCGTATGAGAATTGTGGTGTCCTTTTTACTTTATTTTCTCTGCGTTCCCTGTTTTTAATTCTTTAAGAAATGGGATTGCAAATAGGGCAGAAAGCAAAAACTATAAAATGAAAAAGGCATTTTTTGCTGTTTTTTAAGTGCATTATCTTGTGGAACCTATAATTGAAGGATTCTGGATCGGTTGTTAAAAATCCTTCCATAAGTTGCATCTAGCCTACTTTTGGTCACTTGTTGTTTCCTGTCGTATTTTATGATTTGAGAGGGTATAATCTTGTTCTTTCCTTTTTGGTGTTACAGCAGATTAATGTGACAATTTGGTCTGTTCACCTAGAAGGCTTTTACTTTTCTTTGAGAGATTGGGATGGTGAACATTTGAGTAATGTCCAACAATATTTAACCTTAACTTTTAATTACCTTACTTCTGATTCTGTGCGAATTCGATGGATCAGTGCTGTGATTAAGCTGTCTAAGTATTCCTTTGATTAAAGCTGTATAGCTTTATCGCCGCATACATGATAGAGCTTAATTTAATTGAGTTACGGCAATTTTAGCCATCCACATCAAACTTTTACTACTGCAATGCTCTATCTGTTGAGGGTTGCTCGAGTCTTTTGACTGGCAGTTGGCATTGGTGTCACATGAATTCTTCATTTTAATGAAGCTTTATTATTTACATTCATGACATAGCTATATTTTAGTTCCCATTCACAAATGATAAGCATGTTGTGTCATATTTCTGGAGAACTTATTCTGAAATGTGTGCTACATGCAGGAGGACATTCTAGATAGAGATTCTCTTAATACAGTTGTAAGTTCAGGTCCAAGTGCAAGGCGTGCAGATCTGTCCCTTCAAATACCTCCTAAACCAGCTGTATTTGGAAATAGTCGCAGTGGAAAGGGTTTACTTCAGTCTCCCAGTATCCTGGGCAATTCATCAACTGCTGGCTTCCTCCGAGCTCTAAGCTTCAAAAGGAAGCTTACTGCAGCTGATGGTGAAAGAAGCTCTTTGCTTAATTCAGACCCCAAGGCAGCTCCTGAAAGCCCTGTGTTGGCTAATATCATGTCAAGCCTGTCTTGGAAAAAGAGTACTTCTCTTCCGGTAACGCCTGCATCAAATTTGTCTCCCTCAGTGTCCACACCTACTACCACAAGGACTTACAGTGAAAGAAAAAGATCAAATGTAAGTTGTTATCCTGAATTCTGCCAGTCTGCTATTGCTTTTGTTCTTCCTGGCTGGTAAGAGATGTAAATTAGAAACATTATTTTGAATAGAGCCACAACATCTACACCACACTCATATAGGTTATCTATCACATTGCTCTTGAATGTTGGACATAGATGCCAAATTGTAGGTAAGATTGTAATCATTGCAATCATCTCAAAATGATTCCATATCCATATATCTTCCCCTTGCTAAGATAATTAAATATAAACATATATCCGGATATCTTCACCTTACCAAGATAAATGTAGTTATGGAAACACAGCAGTCTTCCTTCTTCGTCTTCCTCTCTCTTTTTTTTTGGGTGGGGGGAGGGGGTTTGGTCAGGAGGTGTGTGCCTTTCTGTCAAGGTTGTAATCTTACAGAACAATACTTCAAGATCTGCACTTGCTGCAGGTTGGTGCATCTAAAGCTACTGTGTCAAGGTCCCTCTCTGTACCTGGGAGAAACACAGTCATTGTAAGATCAGCCTCTTTTGCCAATGCTGAAGAGCATCTTCCAGATGCTGATAGCGGTATGTCATGCATGTATCCTTCAGACTTCATATTGTTACTCCAAGATTCTAGCTTACCTCATTCTTGGAAATTTAAGTTCAGTTGCTTGCAATGTTGAAAAATGTTCTTCAGTGTCCATGTGATTTAAACTAATTAGTTGGCTTGTAGACGGTTAAGTTCATATTTTTGTAGCCTTCTGCATGCAAGATTATAGTGCTTTTTAACTGGCATCCTGGAAAATAATTATGTAGATTGATTGCTGGTAGGCTTTGTTTGGTTATTGTTTCTAAAACTTCTTCTTTCTTGCAAGTTAGACCAAATAACTCCTGCTCCACCTGACAATGATGAAGAGATTCCTGAAGAGGAAGCTATCTGTAGAATCTGCCTTGAAGCATGTGAAGAAGGAAATACACTTAAGATGGAGTGCAGCTGCAAAGGTGCTCTCAGACTTACACATGAAGATTGTGCAGTTAAATGGTTCAGCATAAGAGGAAACAAAAACTGTGAAGTTTGTGGACAGGAAGTTAGGAATTTACCGGTAACTTTGCTGCGTGTGCCAAATACAGCTCAAAGAGATAACAGGTTGGATGGACAAAGTAGTTTCAGTTCAGAAAGGATAAGGTAATTGACGATTTAAAATTCTGAGTAAAACCTACAAATTATTTTTTTTTTATTTCCAATAAAAGCAATATTTGGGTAAGTAACCCTGTTTCTTGTGGGCTACTAAATTCTCCTCTAGGAACTTGGTTCATTTTCATTTCATTCATCAGTGCTTGTCACCATATCATCTCTAACTGCTAGTTGATAGTTAAGTTTATTTATTTTTATATTTTTAAATCATTGCTCAAATTCTATGCTCAAAAGTGAATACCTGAATTCAGGGTTAATTTAAAATTTTACATTTCAGGGTTCTGAACTTGATAATACGACATATACAACTCTTTTTCTTATTCCTCTAAATTATCTCTTTGGCTTTTTAAGTTGATTGTTAATGGATTTATATGTTTCTTGTACAGTGCTTGGCAGGACTTTGTCGTTCTCGTCTTAATTAGCACAATTTGCTATTTCTTCTTCCTTGAGCAGTTGATGGTAAGTAATCTGGCTGTGAGATATGAAGTAAAGATAACAAAGTCTCAGAGGCTTTTTCCTTAGCACAATTTCTGTTTTTATTTTTCGGAGGTGGGGTTGGGGTGGTAGTGGAGAAATGGGCTTCCAGATATTTGTTTGAAAGCGATATGTATGTACTTAAATGCTTGAAAAGTGAAATGTAAAGAGCAATATCCTGTTGATGCTAAGTTGTCCATCAGAATTTTGTGAACATAATGAGAGAACTTAGTTATATGACAACTGCTACCAATTTTAGGGTGCTTATAGATCAATAAATGTAAGCTTTTCCAGCTCAAGCTGAGAAGTTGGGGGATATTACCAACACTGAGTTCAAAAGTATAATGGCAATTACATCTGCAACTTTTTTCAATTTTCATGGTCTCTTTTTGTGCAGATTCACGACATGAAAACCCAGGCACTCGTGATTGCTGCACCATTTGCTTTTACTTTGGGCCTTTTGGCATCTATATTTGCCGTGATCCTAGGTATTGAATTTGTCTCCTGGGGTTTTTGTTCAACTTATAGTAAACATCAGTCTTAGATCATTTTATTTCTTGCAGCAATTAAAGAATATATTTGGACATATGCAGCACTTGAGTTTGCACTTCTTGCCATTATTCTCCACTTTTTATACTCCTGGGTAAGTGTATTGATTTACTACTTTGTATGCCTCTAATTGCTTTGTTTATATCAATTGCTGCTGCTGTTTGTGGTCTTCTAAAAAATTAAAGACTTCTCTCTCTGTCTCGCTCTCTATCTCTCTCTCTCTCTTTCCCCCTTTTTTGGCTTATCCAACTTATTTTGTGTATAATAATGAAAATCATCAAAAATAAGATATGGCGCCAGTTTTAATCAGTCTGACGGCTTTGACTTAGATTTGTGGAGTTACTAACACCTTGGCTCAAATGGGAGCCCAAAGACATTACTAAACGTTTCCAGCAAAACTAGGAAGTAGCTGATGTGTGAAACACAAACGACATTCTCTGGCCGATGAGTGTCGTTATTGAACTAGTAAAGTTCCCGATAGAGAAGACAGTAGCACTCAAAACACTTGTTGTAATAGAACTTTTATAATTAAACAGCTGTTGCCACGACTTCTGAGTCTCATGGAGCCGCTGAATTTTGAGCTAACCGATCTCTGAGTCGTGAAAATTTAATTACAGACCTTGTACATGTTGTTGGTATGCTTATCAACGCTTTGCCATCTGTAATGCCTTTTACTCAGATTTTCTCGTCATGCCTCGCACTTGTATCTTAGCAAGCTGAGGAAATACTGCGATAGTGAATCTTGTGTAGTAGTTTTGCTTTGAATTGCTTTGACACATGCCTTTTTTTGGCCTTGGCAGGTTCACCTGTCAGCAGTTTATGCAATCTTAGTTTCTTCGGTTTTGGCATTTGGTCTGGCTATAAGT